AATTGTGGAGAGTCTTCCTAATCTTGTATGATGCATCTTGTTGTGAGTTTAGAAGCCAGATTTCTAAAGCTAATGAAAAGACAGTTCCTTTCAGAATTGCCAGAGACAATTGAGGACCACAAATGCCAGTACTTCAAACAAAATCTGGGAATGCTGTTCAGTCTCTCTGAGTTATGGAATGTATTTACGGAAGATGGTTGTATTTGACACTTAACTTTGTACAAGGAAAATGAAATGCTTCTAATATGCAAATTTTAAATGTGAAGCTTTTCTGTTGCCTGTTCCTACACTGAAATAAAGTGTCTTCTATTCATTCTGTGAAACAGTTACAAACAAACTCATTCTCACAGCAAGCTTCTAATCCCTTAAAACACACAAAAAACCAAGCCTGTACATTGAGGACCTCTTACTGGTCTTGCAAAAGCGTGTGGCACACAAAGCACCTCCTAAATTGCCCACAAAACACCTTAATCGCAGAGCTTAGTGTAGAAAACACATTAAAATGTTACTATGTTGAAGGTTAGCAGACTTGTTTTTGAATATTTTGGGAGGACGTGGGAAAGCTGGAAGCTGCTTTGACCTATGGGGTAGGTAAGATTGTTTAAGGGGATGAGGCCAGCCCCTGAAAAATCTTGACTAGGGGATATATTATGGAATTTTTCATAGTGTTCATAGTTTTCAATTAGTATTGCCTTTTCCCCTGTCTTTGGTTTCCTTTTCTAGAAAATAGAATAGCCACTTCTAGGATAAGATTTTAAGATTTTACAATAAAAAATTAATAATTTCTCTCATTTCACCTTCAAAAGTAAGGTTAATTAGGAAATTTCTGCTGCATTAAGTTCTTATACTTCCATTCTTGGGTCAGAGAAATCAGTGCTATGGTTAACTCCTGTTATTAGCTGTGGGATTGCTGCTGCTACTCTACTTTGGCTGCTGACTCTTCACTTTGCTAAGAGTAATATGAAGCAAAACTAGCTACTTGCTGATCTGCTTCTATTTGAAGAGAAATTAAAATTGCTGGAGTCAATTGTGGGCATGCTCCTCAAAGGGAGGAAGGATTCTGATCTCTAATCTGAAGTAGAAGAAGTTGATACAATAGTAGATTCAAAGAATGCTTCAAGTAACACTTTGCTAGTGGTTGTTACAAGTTCTGAAACCTTAAGAGAAAACTAGCAGAATTGCATGTTCTTTTCTTCCACCCTTCTGGAGTAGTCTCCATGGACTAGCATCCATGTTTATAACTGCAGTAACCTAATGACATGTTAAAACCTGTGTGTTCCAAATAAGGAAAAGTTGTTATCATTCAGCACAGGTGGCTAAGGATGCAGTTCATTGGCCTGTCCTAGATAAGATGCAGTCAGACCTCAAATGAGTGTATTGAGCTCTTGTCAATATAGCTTTTTATGGAAACATGGTCAGTGAGCACATTCCCTTTAAATGGATTACAGTGATTGGGATGTGGCAATCTTCCTTTCTGATGCTAGGCTTACCAAAAGGCTGCTTTTCGTCAAAAGATTTCTGGAAGATTTTCAGCTTTGGCAATTGATTTACCTTACAACATCAAGAAAGCTACTTAACAGAGGTGTTGGGCATAATCTAAATAAATCTTAGATTTCCTGTTAAGGATATTTTAGACAGTAACCTTGAAGGAAAACACACAATTCTATTTAAAATAAGCTATGAATATGGGCTGTTTCATAGCCTGATCTTTTAGCATAACTGATTGAAAAAAGGGATTGATTGTGCATTATGAAAATGTTGTTTAATGCTTGGTATTTTCTTGAGGTAGCAGGGAGGTTGGCGTTCACCCCTTGACAAACTGTCCCAGTTCTCTCGGTCTGTAAGACACCAGAAGTAAATAATTCACTGTACCCAAATGGAGTCATATAGCTTTAGAAAGAAAATAAGGGTTTACACAAGCTGTTCAGAAGTATCGCTCACATCTGAGAAATGCTATAGGTTTGCTGGCCTACTTGACATATGTCTAACTTTTCTAAAATTTGACATCAGTGCATAAATTTTATTCATCATTAAAATATTGCTCACTTTCTTTTGAAAATCAGGGAATTTGCATCATCCTTTCATAGTAACCTTTAAGTAGCTTGTAAGCCTGTTAAACTCACAAAACTGTCTTTCTGAGTTTCTTTAAAAAGAAAAAAAAAAGATTTCAAATAGAAGAGTGGGCAGAGAGGTACACAGTATAAAGTTCAGTGTAGTGGCTGTATTGCCTTTCATATAATAGTTTAGGTCTGTGTGGTACTGACCTTGATAATGTCACTGGTTGTGTGTCCCCCCAATAAATACCAGTTTGAAAAGTTCAGTTATCTTTAGTTAGGGTGGGTTTTTGTCAGTCAGTCTGTTTTCCCCTGCCCGATACAGGGCACTGATTTGGTTTCTCTTAGGGAAGTAATAGCACAAATAACTGTACCTGCTTAGGGATTGTTGCTCCCTTTGTCATAGTGATACCTGGGCTCAATTTACCTCCTATAAAATGAGAACTGAAAAGAAAATGCGGGAGAATATTCAGTTATAGAAACGCTGAAAACAAACTTAACATATTCCTTTTCACTGGATGTCTTTATTCTTCAATATTTTGAACTCTTGAGGATTAAAAACAATTTCCTATTTAAGTAATAAAAAAGCTAGGTATAACCACTGCAGGCATTTTTCTGTTTCTTTTGTTTTGTTATGGTTCTGTGATACACAGAGTAAAAACCTTGAAACTTTGAGGTGCAGCTAACAGGCTAATTTAAGGCCGACGCTTCCCTGTCAGACTGAATATTTCTGACTGCTGTAATCCGGTTTTGAATTTGCTAACATGTTGCAGTGCAGTAGCCAGCCTGGGCTCTTGGACTGTCGGCTTGGTGCAGTTAGTTGTTGTTGTAATTACTTTAGGCTGCTGACAGTAAAACCACCATTTCAGAGTACGGTTGCTGCGCCGTCATTTGTGCAGAATTTGACGACAGGGGAAGTGATGTACATTGCTCTAAGGCAATATAGCAAGTATCTCCAAAGTTGTCATTCTTGACTGCACTGACTCTTCACCAGTATCTTAACTCCTGAACTAATCTTTTGATGGATTTCTATTAGTAGTGCCCTTCTAGGTGAAGGCAAGGAAGGCTACAATAAAAAGTAGAGCTGCTTCTGTGATAATTATATTGCTAAGTGTGTGCCACAGTTTCATATTGGAAAATCTGTATTTAATTTAAAAGGTAATTAGTTAAAGAACTCTTTCCTGGGCATCTGACTCTAGAGTGGGAACTGGGGAAACACAGATATTAATTTTAGCCTGTAATGCTATTCTACCTTTTGCTGTTTGGAAGGTGTTAGTGAGGCTGACAGAGTAATGTGTAAGGTCTACAAGGAGCTATCAGGGTTGTGGCTAAGTACTTCCTCCAGCTTAGCCAGTCAGGAAAATTTATGCATTAATGGTGAAGCCGACAGTGTGGCTTCGTCTCTTCTTGCTCTTATTGCTGTTCACACTAGACTCTTAACAGCATGTTGGAAGAATATTTTGCAGTGTTAAAGAGCACGATGGTGTTGTCAGTGCCCTAATTGTCCTATACATCCTCCGTGCAGAGTGTGAGAAATGGGCTCCGGACCAGCCCGCCTTCAGGCTGTGGGACGGGACCAGTGTGGGTAGCAAGTGCTTCCAGCTGCACAGCGTGCTGTGTGCTGTGTCCAGTGCTGCTTGTCTGCTGTGGATGCAAACCTACTGTCTGCTTTAAAAGAACCAGGAAAGGGTTGCTGCTGAAAGTGGTAGGAGTCAGGCAGCGCTGGCATTTGTGCAGCCGCGTAATGAGTTTGATCAGGAGCTGCTGGGGTATTCTGCAGCTGGCCAGAGAGGGAGAAACATAACTTTGCCTCAGGGCTGTCTAATCTGTTCAGCGAGACTTCTGAAACTGCTGAGCTGATGTCTGTTTCACTATGGTTTTCTGTAGCTGCTCCTGAAGGAAACACTCAAACTGTGAAGCTGTGTCTTTGCCTGTGTACAGGGCCAAATGGACAATGTTCTCCCAACACACTGTTTCAGACCTGTCCCTTACATAAATTAGTGATTTGCCTTTACTTCACTGCGCAGGAATGTTTGATCAGCAAAGCTAACGGCATGTTGGGAGCTGGCCTACTGTGGCATTGCTGCCTAGAGTTTCCGTTTCCACGTTAGGGAGGAAAACTATGTAGATTTATCTTACACATACTCCTGTGCTGTTTGGAGATGCTACAGGGAAGCACACGATGAGGAGTTTGACGTGGCAATTGATAATATTTCAGCCCCCTGCACTTCGCTTTCTGCAGAATATAAAAAAAGGAAAATGCAAGTTTGGTGACTTAATGTGTGCAACCGAAGGAGGATATTTGTTTCCAATGCTGTTTCAACTTACAGTTTGAGTGTTTTGTTTACCAGTTAAATGTATCTTCTTGTGGTACAAAAAAAAAAGCAGTAAAGGAGATTCAGTTGTAAAACTTTTGATAGTCTTCGTACCATTGAAATAATAGTAGCTTGCCTCAAATCATCATTTCAGGTTTCTTCACAGAAGTTTTTCTTAGTGCCTTTTATTGAGCCTTAGAGCTTGATTAAAAAAAAAAAAAAAAAAGAGCAAGTCTTGAGGGCCCCTGAACTGCTCTGTTGTCTCATAAGGAGAAAGAGCAGGTCTGGCATTTAGCTCTTGTGTATGCAGCATGTCTAAAACTTTTGAATCTAATTTTAGAATTTATTTTACTCACGGATAGAGAAGTCAAAACTGGTTTTGTTATGGTCAGTCTTCACTAGTATTTATCTTGTTTTATTTAAGAGGCAATTCATGCACATACACATACAGTCTGACAGGAAAACGGGGTGAAACATCTGCCCTTTTCTGCTCCTGCATCCTTGGGAGTTTGCTAATGGGTAGCAATTATACTTGCTAGGCTAGTGAAATGGCAAGCTGTGCTAAGCCCTAGTTGGTGATTCTGGTGTTCTAATTTAAAATCCTAATTCTAAATTTGTTCTTTATTTAGGATTTCTGAAAGCTAACGGGAAGGCGTTCTGGGAGCACAGCAAGCAACATGGCAACCCAAGGTATGTAATACATCACACTTGATTCTTTTGCTTGAACCCAGCAGTGTTAAATGGGCTTAAACTTAAAAATTTAATAAAAAAAATAATAATTTGGGTTGAATAGTATCTTTTCTACTACAGCAGCGAATGCCCTATCACTGGAGCTCAAACCTGCACACAAGTTTGTCATCTTAAACATTTTGGGTCAATTGAATACACTCAAGTACTTAAGCATGTTATGTGGAACGGAAACCTTCAGGCAGTACAAACGAGGGCAGTCTCAGTAACCTGCTGCTCAGGTTTGTGCATGTCTGTATTGGTTTGGATTAATGCTCAGATTAAAACTGCTGTCTCACAATGCTACTCCTGCTGGATTAAGATAGCTGTTTATAACATTTATTTAAAACCTGTGTCATCTCTTGAGGGACTAATACGTGCTGGAGTAATTCTGTACTTAATTGTTCAACAATGATTTCTTACAGCTGACTTGATGGAGTTGGACATGGCAATGGAGCCAGACAGAAAAGCAGCAGTCAGTCACTGGCAGCAGCAGTCTTACCTGGACTCTGGTATCCATTCTGGTGCCACAACAACTGCTCCCTCCTTGAGTGGCAAGGGAAATCCTGAAGAGGAAGATGTGGACACAACGCAAGTCCTGTATGAGTGGGAGCAAGGATTCTCTCAGTCCTTTACCCAGGAACAGGTTGCTGGTACGTCCTTCTATATTTTACTGATTTGATTAAACATGCGGCTTAAATAATCATATAGACAGCCCTGTTTTTGTGGATACATAAACCTAAACACAGAGTTGTTATTAATCTACTAGGAAAAAAAAAAGCTTATTCTAGGAAGTAAAGGCTCGTCTTGTTTTTCAGATATTGATGGCCAGTATGCGATGACTAGAGCCCAGAGAGTACGTGCGGCTATGTTTCCTGAAACACTGGATGAAGGAATGCAAATCCCATCCACACAGTTTGATGCTGCTCATCCAACTAACGTGCAACGCCTGGCTGAGCCATCCCAGATGTTAAAACATGCTGTTGTTAATTTGATAAACTACCAAGATGATGCTGAACTTGCAACTCGTGCAATCCCCGAACTGACCAAACTGTTGAATGATGAGGACCAGGTATATATGTGAATTTTACCTCGGCGTAGCCTGCGTATGGGGCCTCTTTAATGACCTTTAAAACTAAAATTTTGCTTTGCACATTTCTTTAGGTGGTGGTGAACAAGGCTGCAGTTATGGTTCATCAGTTATCCAAAAAGGAAGCCTCTCGCCATGCTATTATGAGGTCTCCTCAGATGGTGTCCGCCATCGTGCGCACCATGCAGAACACGAACGACGTGGAAACGGCGCGCTGCACTGCGGGAACGCTGCACAACCTTTCACATCACCGGGAAGGCCTGCTGGCCATCTTCAAGTCGGGAGGAATCCCTGCTCTCGTTAAAATGCTTGGGTACGTGGACATAGGAGACTGTACTTGTGTTTTGCAGTCCGTGCAGCTGGGTGTAGGTGCTAGTGAGCACCTTTTTCTGTTTTTGTAGGTCCCCAGTGGACTCTGTGCTGTTCTATGCCATCACGACTCTTCACAACCTCCTGCTGCATCAGGAAGGAGCCAAAATGGCTGTCCGTCTAGCCGGCGGGCTGCAGAAAATGGTCGCCTTGCTCAACAAGACAAATGTGAAATTCTTGGCCATCACAACAGACTGTCTTCAGATTTTAGCCTATGGCAATCAAGAAAGTAAGGTGAGTGCTCAGCTCTTGAAGTGCTTCTGATGAGTGAGCTTGCTCTGAATGGGCTGCCAATTCCTTTTTACTGAGCTCCATATTCTGCATCCTCAGCAGTGTGAGGCTTTTGCCAGTCAGTACCAACCTTCCTAAGAGGTGTGAGCCGTTCTTTTGTGGATGCACAGTCTTGCTTATAACAAGATTGCAAAATGAACGTGCGTGACCAGTAGAAGATGTGAACAGTCACATCCATAACGTACGTTAGATGCAAGCCAGCAACCTTTACTGCTTACGTGCCCAAGAGGTGGCAGAGAAGTGTTACGTTTTTGCTCTCTTTCAGCTGATTATTCTGGCAAGTGGTGGACCTCAGGCTCTAGTAAACATAATGAGGACCTACACTTACGAGAAGCTATTGTGGACCACAAGTAGGGTGCTGAAGGTGCTGTCAGTCTGCTCCAGCAACAAGCCTGCTATTGTTGAGGCTGGTAAGTGGTTTACTTGCACCTGGGATAACTTTAAAAGCTATGTTGTACTTGAGGGGTCAGTACATAAGCATCAAAAGATAAGCCTGGATTGATCCTTCAGACCACTGCCAGTTTTAGGAGAACTGTAGTGCACAAAAGCCTAAAAGGCAGCCTGTTTTCTTAAGTACCATTTTACTGGTGAGGTGCCTTGGTGGCTTAGCGGCTAAGAGTCATTAGACCTGTCCCCTTAGAATATGGATACATTTAGAAGGTCTTCAGCATCACAAAAAAAATCTTGGCTTTTTCCTTTTTTAGGTGTAATAAAGTGTTAGGCCTGGCCATATTAGGGCACCAATGCCAAGAAAGAGCCAGCAGTTTGTGAGCTATTCCTTTGGATTTTAAAGAGGAAAAGAGTACTTTGCATTTCCCAAGATCAGCTCTAAGTAATGGTGTCAAAACTGTACCATCTTCTAGGTGGGATGCAAGCTTTGGGACTCCACCTTACAGACCCAAGCCAGCGTCTTGTCCAGAACTGCCTCTGGACTCTGAGAAATCTGTCAGATGCTGCAACCAAGCAAGTAAGTGCCCTTCTAAGGAACTGGGATCCAAAGCTGCAGTAGTGGAAGAGCGAAACTAATTTTTATCCCCCCCTCTTCCTTTGCAGGAGGGAATGGAAGGCCTTCTAGGAACTCTTGTTCAGCTTCTAGGATCAGATGATATTAACGTTGTAACTTGCGCTGCCGGCATCCTCTCCAACCTCACTTGCAACAACTACAAGAACAAGATGATGGTGTGCCAAGTCGGGGGCATCGAGGCGCTCGTGCGCACGGTTCTGCGGGCTGGCGACAGGGAGGACATCACGGAGCCCGCTATCTGCGCGCTCCGCCACCTCACGAGCAGGCATCAGGAGGCCGAGATGGCTCAGAACGCGGTCCGCCTCCACTACGGACTCCCAGTGGTGGTCAAGCTCCTGCACCCGCCCTCACACTGGCCTTTGATCAAGGTAAGTAACAGCAGTTTTTAGGGTTGCCAACTGGTACCTTTTTAAGGTAATAGCAGGCTTCCACCCTAAGCATGAGAAATTTGTTTTTGCAAAGTGTTGGAGAATGTAATTTGAGTGATGAGAAAGTTGCTTCAGTTGAGCAGCTTCATGTTGCCTCTAACTGCGTTCAACTGTTAAGGCCTAACTGCTTACATTAAAAAAGACACCCTTCCACCCCCAGCACTAGCAGTAAGCATCCCTCATGCTCCTGTCTTCTCCTGACCTGCAGGCTACGGTGGGTCTGATCCGCAACCTGGCGCTGTGTCCCGCGAACCATGCCCCGCTGCGCGAGCAGGGGGCCATTCCACGGCTCGTGCAGCTGCTGGTCAGAGCACACCAAGACACCCAGCGCCGCACTTCCATGGGGGGAACACAGCAGCAGTTTGTGGTAAGTGGCTGCCATTAACTAGTTAGGGGGTAAAACCTTCCTCTAAAACTGCTTGCGTGCCAATTGGTATTTGCTACAGTTTAGTCTGAATAGCTGTGGTCCTAACATTTGCTGTAATTCATGTTTTTGTGTTGCCATACCGGTAATTCTGTCTTGGCTGACCTGAGGCATTTCTAAAGTGAAACAACATGAAAACAAAGAAAAAAACTTGCGTCTCATTTTAATGAGAACCTCCTGAGCACTTAACATTAAATGCTTGTTGACGCTAGTAGATCTAAGTGACACTGGTTTTGCCTGTTCTGGAAAGGGAAGTAGTTCTCTATCAGGAGACTAGGACAGTCCCATCCTTCCTGGATCTTCAAACTAAACTGTCAAGCTCTCTAAAGTATTCAGCTTGTGGAGGGAAGCAGCTTGTGTTGCTAGACATTTGAGCTAACAGTGAACTAATATAAAAATGAGAACTTTGGGACACCTTCCCTGCAATGCTCCCCCTTTCCTTTGGGATTCTGAATTTACTTGGGTAACCAGACCAGCTCTTCTAGCAGGGATGTAAGTTTGTAAGTCAGTGATAAGCAGTGGATATGGGACCTGCTGAGGAGGGATGTTTGTGCAGGGGCCAAGTTTGGTTGTTACTTGACAGGGTGGTACTAACCTGTCCATCAGCTTTTGGGCAGCCTCTTGAGAAGGCAGCACTCAGTATCTCAGCCTCAGAACAAATGTTTTCTCTCCCTATCTAGGAGGGTGTGCGTATGGAGGAAATTGTTGAGGGCTGCACTGGAGCCCTACACATTCTTGCACGTGATGTTCACAATCGAATCGTAATCAGGGGTCTCAATACCATTCCACTCTTTGTGCAGGTAAGCAAAAGCTCAAGAAAATGCTATGGTACATACTGAAAAAAGTAGTAAAATAACGCCCAGTCGAATTGTACTGAAGAGCTAAAGAAACCCTTGTGTTCTGGTTGTAGTTGTTGTACTCTCCCATTGAGAACATCCAGAGAGTAGCTGCAGGTGTACTTTGTGAGCTGGCTCAAGACAAGGAAGCAGCTGAAGCGATTGAAGCTGAAGGAGCAACTGCACCTTTAACAGAACTGCTCCATTCTAGGAACGAGGGTGTTGGTATGTGAACATTAAAAAAGATTTTGTCTGTTTGGATAGAAAACTTGACCACTGCTAAACTTGTTCTTTAATTCAATAGCAACATATGCAGCCGCGGTGCTGTTCAGAATGTCTGAGGACAAACCACAGGACTACAAGAAGCGACTCTCTGTTGAACTGACCAGCTCTCTGTTCCGGACTGAGCCCATGGCTTGGAACGAGGTGAGTTGCCCCTTTGCACCGCCTGTTTCCTGGGGAGAAGCAAGGCCTTGTAGCAGAGCAGAGATGCCTGCACTGACACAGGGTCAGCTTTGCACGTGGCCGTAGCTTCTGTACTCTCCCCACGTTTGGGTTCTGTGAACCTGTGCTTTTAGACTCCAGCAAATGATCCAGGCGTGATGTGCGCACTCTTGCTGTGAGACAAAAGTTCATAAAGAGAGGGGTGTGAAAGTCTGGGGAATCCATTGCATAGTGGAAGAAAACTTTGCAGAAATAAGAGCTCTTGCTGGAGCTAGATCAAGAGTAAGCAGCCTTAAAGCAGCTGTTTTTCTGTCTGCAAGGGAAGCACAAGGAGTTCATTCTCTGCTGCTGCTAAAGCACCTAATTCTCTTCTTTCTCACTAGAGCAAAGCCATGTAGAAGAACATTATGTCTCTGCTGCCTCAGGTTTCTGAGGACAGCTCTGGAATGATCTCTAGGAATTTTGACCAATTTTTTGAGGATTGTCCAAACCTGATGAGCTGTACATGCCGAGAGCTTTGGGGGGGAAGGCATGAGAGATCTGGGGGAAGCCTACATAAAAATGTTTTCTGTGAGGCTTCCTTCGAGTACGCCAGGTAGCTTGGGGTGGGCATGCAGCTTGTGTTCTCCTTAGGATTAAGCTTTGTACATGAAAATATTTGCAGGCTGGTTATCACACTGTGTGGATTTTCTTGGTGCTTAAAGGACTGCAGAGTGAACGGAGAGTGAAAACAAACTGTGCACATGGTGTACAGGGCAGATTTCACTAAGTTTCTTCTTTTCCCTAGATTCTTAAGTTTTGGGAGCCTAACTTGCCCTGTTTGTGCTTAGTGTACAGTAAGAAGGGACTTGGAGGCCAGCAGGCTTTGATTTGTACCAGTTCTGTGCTTACCCTTCAGTTCCCCTAAAATCTGTATCCATCCTCCACAGTAACATGAAAAACAGCTAAAACGGGGGTATCTCTTTTAGATCAAAGCTGTGTAATTAAATTGCAGATACTTAATTCTGGACTGGACAAGGGCGAGGAGGTCCATTCAGAACGGCTAAGTGCAATAGAACAACATATTGCTGCCTCAGGGATCTCGGCGCTGCTGATGCAGAGCTGGGCAGGGGCAGCAGAGGGGGAGCGACCCTAGGCCTGACGAAGGCTGCTAGGAGGGATGCAGAAGCTGGGGTTAAAAGGCATTGTCATGTTCACATAGTGCCATGCTGCAGTGCTCGCTGCACGAGAGCAGCTAAAAATGGGTTTAGGGCGAGCTTTAAAATGTCTCAAGCTCTAAATCATTAATGTCACCCCAAAGATCTTGCACTAAGAATGGTTTATGACCTTTTCTGTGCCTCCAGACGGCAGACCTCGGACTTGATATCGGTGCCCAGGGCGAACCTCTCGGATACCGCCCAGATGGTATGTCTGTTCCATTCCCCTCCACTAACCTTAAGTTGGATGATGTCAAGTCATAGACTTTTAAAGGAGAACCACAAATGAGAGAAGAGTGAATCACTCTTCAGCGAGATAGTGCAAACTGACAGGCAGATGGGGAGCTGCCACTTCAAATAACCAGTTTCTGCAGCAGTATTGACTGTATTGAAATGCGAGCTGCATGAACGTGCAAAACTGGTGTCACTTGTCCGAGTGCTGCAAGAGCATCTCCCACTGAGCTGTCGTTTCCAGAAATCTTATAAATCCTTTATAAATGGGCTTGACAATTCCAAAAGTGCCTTTTTTAATTATTAAGAACTAATCCAGATATTTTAATGTATTAGTCCATAAATGTCCGTAGACTTGAAGTCAAACTTATCCCTAAGGATTTGCTATTTTAACTGGTATTTCAGAAGCAAGCCTGTAGCCTTGGAGGCTGGTTTTGCTGCAGTATGGTTGAATTCCAGTATTGTTTATTAGACGGACTGATGGCTTGGCTGGAATCTGCTCGTGCTTCTGAGTGCAGCGTGCTGTGTGTGCAGCATCACCCGGGACGGCTGCCTCAAACCGTGGGACAGCTGTGGGGGGAGGCAGGCAGCAGATTGTTTTGAACTTGGCTGAACTAGGGGAAAAAACAAGTAGATGGCTACAAAGATCTTCTCACACACTTATACTTGCAGCTTCGGATGCATCTAACATCTGTTAACATTATGCTTTTTTTCCCTCTGCCACCTTTAACTCTCTTAGATCCTAGCTACCGTTCTTTCCACTCTGGCGGATACGGTCAGGATGCCTTGGGTATGGACCCTATGATGGAGCATGAAATGGGCGGCCACCACCCTGGTGCTGACTACCCAGTTGATGGTCTGCCAGATCTGGGCCATGCCCAGGACCTTATGGATGGGCTGCCTCCAGGTGACAGTAATCAGTTGGCCTGGTTCGATACTGACCTGTAAATCATCCTTTAGGTAAGAAGCTCAAACCTTGAACTTGAAAAGGAAAAAAAAAATCCCTCAGATTAGTGGACTGAGGACTTGGTTGGCAGGGAGGGAATGGCTTAAATGGGCCCCAGGTTGCGAGGACACGGCCGAAGCACTCCGGAAACGCGCTCGGTACGATCCAGACTGGCTTCTGCCGTGAAGTGTGGAAGTAATTAACTGCAGTGTCTTGTGTGCCAGCTTCCTGCAGTCTCAGTATGCTACAGTGACTGTTCGCTCAAGAACGCTGACACCTTTTTTTTTCTCCTTCTCTCTGCAGCTGTATCATCTGAATGAACTTGCGTTGATTGGCCTGTAGAGTTGCTGAGAGGGCTCGAGGGGTGGGCTAGTATCTCAGAAAGTGCCTGACACACTAACCAAGCTGAGTTTCCTATGGGAACAATTGAAGTAAACTTTTTGTTCTGGTCCTTTTTGGTCGAGGAGTAATAATACAAATGGATTTTGGGAGTGATTCAAGAAACGAAGAATGCACAAGAGTGAATTGCAAGATGGAATTTATCAAACCCTAGCCTTGCTTGTTAAAAATTTATTATTTTTTTTAAATCTCTGTAATGGTACTGACCTTGCTTGCTTTGAAAGTAGCCTTTCTTTTCGCAGTAATTATTGTTAGTTTTTTTTTTAAAGTCTCTTGTAGTATTAAGTTATAGTGAATATGCTACAGCAGTTTCTAATTTTTAAGGATTGAGTAAAGATGTAGAACACTAATTCATAATCGCTCTAATTGTATCCTGAATAAAGTGTAACATTGTGTAGCCTTTTTGTATAAAAAACTAGACAAATAGAAATGGTCCAATTAGTTTCCTTTTTAATATGCTTAAAATAAGCAGGTGGATCTATTTCATGTTTTTGATCAAAAACTTTATCTGGGATATGTCTGGGTAGGGGCCAGTAAGAACTGTTTATTTGGAACCTTGTATTGGACAGTTTACCAGTTGCCTTTGATCCCAAAGTTATTGTAGCCTGCTGTGATACAGACGCTTCATGAGAAAATGCAGTTATAAAATGGTTCAAAATTAAAGTAAACTTTTAATTCACTCTGTGTCAAATCATTTCAGATGATAGAGGGTATTTGCATGTTTGTCCTGCCACCATCAGTACTTGGAACAAAGAACCATTCCCCTCCTTCATCTCCCTGGGCAATACTCACCTTGTCCTGTGCAGAGTCTTAAAGATGGGATGTGGCTTTTCCCTCTTTGCTAAAGCTGCTTCCCCAGGAGGGGGACAGCTCTACCCTGATCTCATCCAACCATCCTTAGGGATTGATATGTATGAACTTCTGGGCTTAAAAAAAGGGAAGGCAGCACCTCAGTTGGGGTGCATTAGCACTCCAGAAGTGCCTTGCAGTAGGTAGGGCTTGGAGATGAAGGTGCTCTATAACTGTCAGCAGGTCCAAGAGCTTAAATGCACTTTCAGGTGTGCTCAGTCTTCAGGGTGTGGGTGAGCACGGAGGCAGCAGGGACAGCGGCGCTCCAACTGCCGCTAACTCCTGCTCTGCACCTCTGCAGGGAGCAGCTGGCCACAGCCTGGAGCCCACGATGCTCCCCAGTATTACCTGAGTGCTGCAGCTCTCACAAGGGGTCTTGGCAGTGGAAGATCAGGGCTTGGGGTCCTAGCACAGGGTGATGACAGATCAGTGAATCTGTAAAAATCACATATTGAGCAGTGTCTGTCTCCTTTTGCTTGTGGAGCAAAGGTGGTGCCATCACTGTTAAACCCCCTTCAGGAAGGAGGAGAGGCTGCTTCCTTTTGCTTGGCCACACTTGCCCTAGGGGACCATCACTATAAAATCACTTTACCAAATAACGCCCCCACACCATGCCTGCAGGAATCTTTTTCCTAGAGCCAGTAACTCCAGCTATAAGGCCAGCTGTTCAGCTAGGAAAAATATGGGGTACTTAATGCAGTACAGGAAAACTCCAGTAAAAGGTACAAAATAAAGACATTTTATTTGTACTGTGTTGCTTGCCTCATGCAACTGGAGAGCTGGTGCAGCAGTAACATGGTTACTACTGTGAAAGATAAATTCCACCAAGAAAAAGCAGCACCAGCCTTGCTTGCTCTTGCACTTTACAGGGGCATCCGCTAGTGCTGGAGAGCTGTTAGATTAGCAAGGTCTTTTATTGCGGATAACTGATGTTAAGACTAAGCTCACCTGTTTGTTCTTCAAAAAGGAGGTGCAAGCTGCCACCCGAGAACACTACTCTGCTTCTCCAAAACAGCTTTAAGATGTGCAGCACCAGGCTGATAGATACAGACACTTTTGCAAAAGAGCCCTAGATATTAGGTAAATACCATTAACCCAATAAAAATTAAGCATTCTCCCCTCCCCCTGCCTAAGAACAGCTACCACAGTCACAAATCCTGGCAGCTGAAAATAACGAGGCACCTTTTGCTCGTCTTGTGAAACTCCTACTAGTTTAATTTACACTTTCCAAACTCGGCGTGTTAATCAAACCCTTGCCGTACACCCCGTAACGGCGGCAGGTACCACGTGCTCCCCCTGAAGCCCTCGCGCCGGGCGCCGCTCGCTCACGCCGCAGCCTTGGCCTTCTCGCAGCCCGCCCGGCTCAGCACCTCCAGTGCCAGGGCAGCAACAGCAGCATCAGCGTGGGAGCTGGGAATTAGAAACAGTAGAGGCAATTAGGCTCAAGGGAAAACTTTTTGTTTAAAGCATACATGTGCCTTATTCTAGGCTGGGAATTTCTTAATAGCTATTGTGTAACCTTACTAAATCCCACTTCTGTGTGAAGCAGCAGTACGTACCTAGGTATTTTGTCCTATAGCAAACCTTCTCATGGAAAAAGGCCATCCTTTCAGCCCAAATCCACAGTAATTGCTACCTTGCTCTACTGCCTTTTAATCCAACAAATATTTATTTTCCCCC